AAAGTTAGCAAGTACAGGAAAATATTTGAATTCTGTTTAAAACTCAATACTGTACTGTACCGGTACATTAATTATTCACTTGGTTTTAATTTCTCTATTTTCGCTGATAAATAAAATAAAAATAAAATAAATTCATGTAAAATAACAATAAAACTCATTGTTTCTTTGGCAAGTTCATGAAATTGAAACACATCGAATATGCTCAAAACATCAAAATAGTGAAATTAAATGTCAGTGGAAATAAATGATTTTACAATAACATTTGATAGGAGCACATGACTCGATGTTTGAAAAAGAACAATGATGCATGTGGCTATTATGAGTCTGGTTTCTCACAAACTGGCTTCCAATTGTGATGTTTCAAAATATAATTTTCAAAATACCGATCGCCAGCTTGTAAACTTGCCAACACATTTAAAGATACAGTATGTATATCGTATGAAATCACTCCTGGCATTTCATGCGAGCTCAGTGCAAATAAATTTCATCCTCCTCTCCAAACGAAAAGTTTACTTTTGTCATGTTTGACTCAACAATTTTTTGTTTGTTTTTCTATTCTGCAGATAATGGACAATGACTTTGCATATGGCTATGAATACATTGGATCAGCCAATAGGATTGTAATGACACCAATGACAGAAAGAGTCTTTGTTAGTCTTACACAGGCTGTCAAATCTAACATGGGTGGACTGTGTGTTGGACCTAATGTAAGTTTTCTTTAGTATGCATTGATTTACTGAAAGATGAACTTGTCAACTTTCACCTCAACTTTCCATTTACTCTCGCTGAATAATTTTCATTGGTGAAAATCCAAATTCCCAGTTTCATTGATGAAAATCCAAATTTTGACTGGTTGATTGTCAAAAATCCAAATTTTGACTGGTTGATTGTCAAAAATCCAAATTCTCATTTTCATTGGCGAAAATCCAAATTCTCACTGTTTCATTTGCGAAAATCCAAATTCCCAGTTTTATTGGTGAAAATCCAAATTCCCACTTTTTCATTGGTGAAAATCCAAATTCCCAGTTTCATTGGCGAAAATCCAAATTCCCACTCTTTCATTGGCAACAAATTTATGGCGAAGACTTCGAATTTGCAATACTTAATTCTCATCAACAAATGGGTATCTTCCGTGCCTCTATGAATTCTGCTTTTACTTGAAATGAAATTGATTGTTTTCTACAGTGGAGTGGTAGAAGGGAAATTATACATGAATTGAGTATGTCCTTAGGAAGACCCCTATATATGTTTAACTGCAGTAAAACATTGGATTCCTTTATGTTAGCTGATATCTTTAAAGGACTATCATGTACAGGTATGTATACACTATCTGAGATACATATCATGTACAGGTATGTATACACTATCTGAGATACATATCATGTACAGGTATGTATACACTATCTGAGATACATATCATGTACAGGTATGTATACACTATCTGAGATACATATGATTTACATGGTGACTCATTGATGTCCATATTTTATTGCATTTTACATCGCTAGGAAAATTTTGTCGTTGTGTTGTTTTATTAGTTATAAGCTTATTATTATCAAAAAATACAAAATGTATTCCCCTGCTTTAGTGAGAAATTTAACACTAGATGGCTTGACATATTAGAACCATGTTCCAGTCTTTGCCAAAAGTTAACGTAAACCGTTTAATTTTTGCTGTTCGAATTTGTTGCGATTTGATGATTTTATTGCATTCATGAAGACAAAATTTTGTGAAAGTCGTTGTGTTGTATAACATTTTCACTTCTATACAATTTCACAATTTTCACCGTCTCATGAAATTCGGCCCAATCACACAATGGGATATTACGGTGCGAAATGATTAATATTATCTTTGGATAGTGCTTTCCAAATACAAAGTGAACCAATAAATTTAAATATAAAAATTTTTCTCTCTTGAAATGGTTTTACAGTTATTTATACATTTGATGTTGAAGAAACATTACTTTATTAATTTTTATTCTGTTGAAGAAACATTACTTTATTCATTTTTATTCTGTTGAGTTCTCTTTAATATGATTCTTACTGAACTAGTGACAGAATCTTTTCAATAACCTTTGTTACTTCATTATTTTTTTTTTTTTTACAGGGGCTTGGATCTGTCTCAATAACATTGCCAACATCAAACCTGATGTGCTCAGCATATGTGCTCAGTTATTACAAACAATACTGGAAAGTTTCAAAGCTGGTAAAACCAACGTAACCATCCAATCTGACGAGATCATACTGAATCCACTCGGTGCCTGTTTTGGTACCATCAGTGATGAGATCAACATTGTACATAACAATCCAGAGAAACACCTCTTGTTTAACTCCAGTGTCACGAGTCTTCCTCCAAACCTTGTCAAATCTTTCCGCATTGTCTCCGTGTCTAAACCAGATTTCCGTATTTCATTGGAAGTGATGTTACTCAGCCAAGGTAATTATTAAGAGTTTGTTTTATCATTCACAATTTGCTTTAGAATTGAAGAATTTCAAGTTTTTTCAGAGGAGAAAAAGAAAATGTCTTGTATTTTCAATACAGGTCCATGACATACATGTATAAAAAAAATATTTTTTGCATTATTTTTAATGATGAATTTACTTTTGTTTTTGTTACATGGCTGTAAGAGTATAGTATCTCATTATTAATATGAATCTGAATTCAAAAATTAATTCTTTTGAAGAGATACTATTTTTCTATCATGTTAAATGAAAATTTAATGTAAAAATGCTCAAACTTATTTGTGTCTAGTGTACTTCAAAACTAACACTGTATTTATTACTTGTCTCCGCTAGGTTTTCTGAGTGCCAGTGAGTTGTCATACAAGTTACTAACTTTACAAGAGTTGGCATCTAATCTGTTATCAACCGTACCACCTATAGCTGTAAGACACCACAGTAAGTTTAACATACTGTATTCTCTCTACGGTGTGTGACATCATGGTGTCTGCCCAATGTCATTGACTCCTATTCATTCAACAGTGATAAAAAGAGTATATACTGCCCTCTTGCCTGTCTTGTGACAGTCTTAGTTGTGAAAATAGTGTGTCATGTAAAACTACAGGGAAGGAATCAATTTCTTATTGACCACTCACAACACAGAAATGTGTGTGTAATCTCTTGATTCTTTCTAATTAATGCATGGTCAGACTTTGTATTTAATAACAAAATTTCTTGACAATGTTTGTAATTTTGCCCAGTGCACACTGTGAAACATTTGTAATATTATACACCACTACATGTATATGTTACAGTTTTTAGTCCTAAGTCATCCTATTACATACAGAC